GTTCCAGCTTCTTATTGGCTAGCTCTTACATATTGTTCTAACCCATTTCTAATATTCTGTGTAGCCCACGAGCTGGCTTACCAGGGAGAATCTTAACCTGCGTCTGTCGGGAGTGGGAGAATCAGGCGACTCCTCGACTAAGCTTTCTTTCTCCCACAATCCTGTTCTGTTTTCTCCACCCACCTAAGGGTTGGCCTATCAAGGGGCTTAGGCAGTTTCTTTATTAATAAGAAATCACTCCCACATCACATGGAGTAAGAAAGAAAGAAAGAGATACAGAATACAGAAAGCTAACAAGCTCAGAGGCAACATGCAGTTAAAGAGACATGGGATAATTTAAGTTAGAAAAGTTGGCTGCTAAGACCCGGCATTCATAAGTAAGAATAAGTCTTCTCGTATTTGTTTGACAGCTGGGTGTTGGGCCCCAAAAGAGTAAAAAACAAGGAGCTGCTGAGTGAACAACTGTCTCATTCATGCCTCAGATTTTATATTATTAGATGTGTTTGAGCCTCTTCATTAGTTTTTCTGCAGACTGTGATAGGGTGTTGGCTTGTGTTGAGGTTGTTCCCTGTTATTGCAACGGCTAATGACCCATCAAATTACCCATTTTATAGAAACTCTGCCTTCTATTAATTGTTACATAAACATTTTCATTATAAAAGACAATAAAATAATTGCTAATTAATAATGATAGCATTAGTGGCAAGCTTTATTCCGTAGTTGTTACTATGTAGGTACTATACTTCTATACAGTATAGCCTGAATTTTATGGCTGCAAAGCAATTTGTCTAAGTTCATACAACTACAAGGAGAGAGGGAAGAATGAGAATTATTTGTTCAGAAAATGAGAGATACAAAGACACCCGAGACTGTAGTGTGTTTTTGTGAGGCTTGTCCATTGAAGTAAGTTCTTGCTTGTATTCCAGTCCAAGGTCACCTGAAATGTCTTCAAGGAATACAAACCAGGCCAATTGGAAGATCCACAGAAAAACAAAAGCCTCCATCTCTCAAGAACTGGAAGGAATACTGTGCCCCGGGAGCCATGGATCTAATCTTAAAAAACCTGTGATGCATGTCTCTCAAGGTAGCTCTGCCCGGCTAACTCCATGTTCCCCTGCAAAGTGCCAAGGAATTTCTCTAATTTATTGTTAACAGCAAAAAGAAATGTGGGTAAAGTATATTAAAGAATTTCATGGAAGAATACTGAACAACTTTGAACACATTACTTCCAAACATAGCTTAACAAAAACAAGAAGAAGATGGTGTACTTGGGGTCATTTTTTTTCTAACTGCACAGACATTTCTTTCCTTTTTCTATGTTTAAAAACAACCACAAGTCACATTGCTCTCATATTATAAAAGGAGAGTTTCCTCAGGAACAATTGATATTTTGGTTATGCCTTGAACTTGCTATGAGGTCTGTGCCTTGTTCTTTGTCATTGGTATTTATGGCTAAAGCCCAGAAGCACCAGACCAAACTCAAGTAACTGCTATCTAAAGACCCAGGTTTTCCGCTAATCCAGAGCCAAGTGATGCTTGGTGGAACATAATGTCTTGGTCTTGAAGTTTCTGGGTAAAATAGGTAAGAGTGATGTATTTGGTGAGCAAGCTCAGGTTCCACAGTGGACAGGTCTGTGTTGCGTCTGGAAAAGAAGACTGTGACCTAGGGAATCAACACAGGTTAAAAAGCATCAAAGATAGGAAGTTAGGTTGAGTGCAGAGACAAAGCAGGTGCACCTTGTTATTTCAATCATAGCCAAAAAGCTCAACTTTTACTGCAGGACATGCCAACTTCCTGTTCTTCTGAAAGGACGACCCAAGCAAATGACAAGATGAACATAGCGACAGTCAGAGGTGCATGTCATTTCAGATCCTCCAAATACTTTTATGAACTTTAACATGTTGTTAAACTCTTTACGCTTCAAGTCAAACATTTCCCTGATACCTTGAAAATTGAAAACTACCCAAGATGTGAAACAGTGGTGTGCAATGGAGACTCTACCTCCACTTATATACATGCATCAATTGTTGACAGCCTATTGTATTCACGTCTCTCTTTGCTGATGCATGTGCTGTGTTATGTGCAAACATATGCATGTGTGTATGTGCTTCTCTGATTTGCTTGAACCATTTCCAAACATTCTAAAGATATTGTGGTATTTTAGTCTAGGAAATTTATTAGAGAACTCTCGACATAAGTTCATACATTTTACAGTTGCATTATTATATTAACACTTAAGAAATTTAATCTTGATTAAATATTATTTTAGAGCCTATATTTAATATTTTTACACCCCCTTCTGAGACTCCCAATTTCATTTGTGTATATTTTGCCTCCTGATTCAGGAACAATTACTGGTCATGTTAATTATTATGGCCCTTTTGTTTCATTTTGTTTTTTTATTTTTATTTATTAAAGATTTCTGATTCTTCCCCGTCACCGCCTCCCATTTCCCTCCCCCTCCCCCAATCAAGTCCCCCTCCCTTGTTTTCATTTTGTTTTTGAGATTGTCTCCACCATACCTGGATTTTCATGGCTCTTTAATATCTTGTCTTAGCGTTGTTATTTTTTGTGAAGGGGCACCATGACAATAGCAGTTGTTATAAAGGAAAATATTTAATTGGGGTGGTTTGTTTACAGTTCAGAAGTAGCCATTATCATCAGGGTGGGGAGCATGGCAGGCATGCACTCAGGTATGGTTCTGGAGAAGTAGCTGAGATTCCTACATCTTGTAGGCAACAGGAAGTCAGCTGAGACACTGGGCCATATCTTGAGCACAGGAAAACTGAAAGCTCACCCCCACAGTGACATACTTCCTCTATCAAGGCCTTACCCACTCCAACAAAGCCACACCTCCTAATAGTGCCAATCTCTATGAGATTATGGGGGCCAATTACATTCAAATGATCATATATACTTTAGTCTAGAACAATCATGTAATTTTGTGTGTGTGTGTTTCAAAATATAAATGGCTTTTTAGATTTTCGCCTGATAGAACACACCATGGTCTAGTTGTGTCTCATTAGTTTCTCTGGACCAACTACGGTGCTTTGCTTTTTGATTTATTGGAGTGTCACCTGCTATGGGAACTCCTTTGGCCAAGAGCCTTTAAGATACCAGCCCACTTAGATGTGGTCTCTTATGCTATAAAACATGCACTCACTTCTGGCTGCTAGACTAGGTTCCTGTTCCTCATTTGTGCAGACCATTGTGATCTAAGACAGTGATCTGTGAGTCTCCCCTGAATAAATAACCCTTTATTATACGTAATTCTGAACTAGTGTGGGGTTATTTTGTAACTTCTGTCATCATCTGGCACCAGAATATGGGGACCAGTCCACACTTTTTGGGATCGGTTTGCTAGCCGTGTGGCACATTACATACTGATTCTCCCACCCATAGATCTAATAGGCCATCAAATGCAGCAGACTGCTGCTCAGCACTCCCCGACTCGCAACTCATCCACTGCATGTCTCTGTAGGTTACATGCCATCCCACACACTGCTGCCTGTGATCCCCTGGGCACACACAGTAAGCAATTCACACTGACGGAAGACATTGGGTTTTCTCCTTATCCTGGGCCCCAACTCTTGGAATCATTTGATCACCTAAATAACTGTTCCTAGTTTGTTAAACAAAGCATTTTTTCAGTACTTAAGTAAGCAACGTGTGCTGTTCGCTGCTGCTAGCATCTCTAGGCTATGTCCCTGCAACTGCGACACCTGCTGGCCAACAAACAGAAAGAGATGGAAAATACCCACAAAATAGACTGCTAATGCTTTGTTAAACTTGAATTTTCCTAACACTAATGAGAAAGGAACAACACCAGCAAAGAGACATTGGATAATAGAAAAAAAACTTCTTTTTTTTAAAGTATGTTGACAACTCTTTACTCCTATGACAACTGAGCTTACTGTTTATTTTTATTTATTTATTTTTTAAATACTTATTTATTTATTATGTATACAATATTCTGTCTGTGTGTATTCCTGAAGGCCAGAAGAGGGCACCAGACCTCATTACAGATGGTTGTGAGCCACCATGTGGTTGCTGGGAATTGAACTCAGGACCTTTGGAAGAGTAGGCAATGCTCTTAACCACTGAGTCATGTCTCCAGCCAGAAAAAAACTTCTGAATTAAATCATCTGGTCTATTTCAAGGATGTGTTGACCTCGCAGAAGAAACTCTCTGTCCTGTGTTAATGTTATGCCAAATTGGCTCAACCTAGAGACACACCTAGGAAGAGGGAAACTTAACTGAGAAAAAGCCTCCATATGATTGGCTTGTGGGCAAATCTGCAGTGCAATTTCTTGATTGGTGATCAACGTGGGTAAGCCCAGCCTTTTGTGAGCTGTGTAATACATGGCAGGTGGTCATGGGTTGTATAAGAAAGCAGACTGAGAAAGTCATGAGGAGCAAGCCATTGAGCTGCCCTACTCCACAGTCTCTATATATCAGTTGCTACCTCCAGGTTCCCGTCCTGCTTTGAGTTCCTAACCCCGACTGCCCTCAGTGATAGACTACGATATGGAACTGTAGCTGAAAAAAAAAATCATTCCTCCTTTCCAGGTTGCTTTGGTCATGATGTTTTTCACAATAATTGCAACCTTGTTAAGACAGCCCCTGCTAGATTTATGCCCTATATGATCTCATAATGATGCTCCTGGAACTTATTGTCTGTATTCTAGACCATTAGGTATATCACTTTTTTTGTGACACGAATCCTCATTCAAAAGCTTTCTGCTTTGTGAAATGTTTCTGTATTCCAGTATTAAGCCTCTCTGCCGATACAGTCAATCAAACAAACTGAGCCAATTTAAGAATTAATAAGTGCAGGTTTAGTCTGTGTAAAGCATTCCTGGTAACCCCAGGGGAAGAAGAGAAACCCAGGTAATAGAACAGGAGAGAGGGTGTATGCCCAGATCTGTGAAGTCCCCCTAAACCAACAAGGAAACCGAGTCCTGTATGTAAAACAAAGAGCCTTTATTTTATACAAGTTTCCAAATTCAGTCTCTTTGCATGTCCAACATATTGGAATAATGGAAGAGCCCCGAGCTCAGTTAGAGTTGAGTTTTTATAATAGTAAAGGTTTCTGAGGTTCAGGACCCCTGATTGACTGACATTTGTCTCCGGGTGTCCTGGTGAATGTGCTGGCAGGCGATCAGATCTACAATGGTTGGAATGCTAGATAATTCCTTTGGATGGTCTGTTCTTGCTTGGGTGGTGCTTCGGTAATCTCAGTTTGTGGTTCTCCCTGCAACCAGGTGTTGCTTCAGGGTAAACTACTGAGACTCAGGCCTCCAATAAACTTATCAATGGCTGAGTCCTACTCTGGCAGGTGATAATGGTTGGAAGTAAAGAACTTCCTTTGGGTGGTCTATTTCTATTTAGCTTATCGTGGCTGGCTCCTATAGAGGGCAGGTTGGCAGACCACATCTTAAATAGCCTGCAGACATGATCCCGGGCATCTTGGGGGAAGAGTTGCAGATGGTAGGCTTTCTCAGAGGCAGAGTCTGGCAGGGCAGCTCCAGGGAACTGTTGCTTGGAATACTGAGGGCAGGGTCTGGAATGGGGCCTCAACCTGGAGATTCCAAACACTTGGGTCATTCCATTTCAGTTTTCACTGTCTCATGAAGGTCATGAAGGTGTGTGTTTGGTTGGGGGTAATTAAAACATGTCTTTCTCCTGTTAACACATGTTATTGATGCCTACATACAGTGAGAAATCTAGATTAATAACTAATAGGGGTAGAGATGACCTTGTAAAATCCCTAAAGAATTATTATTTTTTAAAATTATACCAAATTTTACATTAATGGAAAAAATAAATGACACATTGGAATCACTGACAATGGCAAAAGAACAGAAAGCCAACAGGTCTTTCACTTTTCTCAGGTCTGGGGGAAAATGCACATACATTCACACACATGTGCACACTCTGTAGGTGATTCCCCTGTAGCTGCTGCATTCAGACACAAAGATGTGCAAATGGCTAAAAACCCTCTTTTGAAGAAAGCTGAGCTTCACAGAAGCTTTTCTGGCTTCCAAGCTGCAGCTTCCTGCTGAGTCATTGTGCAGCTAAAGTGGTCTTCAGAGTCCCAGGTGCAGCCTCTCCATGGAGACTGCCAGTCATCTGGGCTTTCCCTGGAGAAGCAGCTGGACTAAACGCTAATGGCAGAGGCAAGGGTAATCAACAAAGCAAGGAACAGGATAGAGGCAGGAAGTCAGGAAGTTCTGCAAACTAGGGCAGGCAGCCACAGACTGAAGTGGCTAGCACATGTGCACAAGCAGCAAGAAAAACAAAAGCGTGTGTGATAGGTTTACTGGGGAAGAACTGGGGTACAGATATTACTGCTGCAGAACCAGGTGCCCAAAAATCTACACAACACTCTTTTGGAGACCCTTTCTCTTTACAAGTACGCTGTCCAGCAATCTCCAAATATCACCAACTGATGATGTAGCTGTGTTTCTCAGCTCATGGTAATAATGGTCTAGATGGCAGCTCCAGAGGATGGACATTCTGACTGGATGTCCTACTGAAGGCCTCCTCCAGAGAAAGGCAGGTGTGGAGATTGGTGATGTGAAGTTCCGCTGGCACCACTGCAAGTGGACGGTGGCAATTCACACAGAGGCAGGAGAACGCAAATGTTGAACTCGGTTCCCTGGACTCATGCAGCCTGCAGCTTCAAGCCACATAAAGGACTATTTTGCTAACCCATACAAAAAGAAAAGTAATACTTCCCAGAAGCATTTGTCCTGAAGGTTTACACTATTCAGAGTTGGGTTTTAACGAATCCTCAAAAGATACAGAATCTGGTGGTGCACGCCTTTAATCCCAGCACTTGGGAGGCAGAGGCAGGCAGATCTCTGTGAGTTCGAGACCAGCCTGGTCTACAGAGCTAGTTCCAGGACAGGCTCCAAAACCACAGAGAAACCCTGTCTCGAAAAACGAAAAACAAAAAACAAAACAAAAAAAAAAAAAAAGAAGAAGACGATACAGAACGATATGATCCCTGGCGAGAAACAACCCTTCACACAATGGCTACGAAGTGCTTTGCATTCCTGGTACATTTCCAGGGCATTTCTAGGGCATGAAAATACAGTATAAATACTGCGTTCTGGAATACAGGTCAGGCTGACGTGAAACAAGGCAAAGGAAAGTGTCAGCAGAATGAAGATGTTTCAATGGAGATTTTGGACGAAGTTCGTCATTGACTTGAAAGTCAAAGCCAAGGACAGGATGACTGTGCCACACTCACCAGCTATCCCCCAGGAACTGTAGGCACAACGATTCAGATTCACTAATGCGTCTAATGCTGGAGGGTGAAAAATCATTCCATGATTCAGCGATGCATGGAATAAGGAAGCGCCCAGATTTACTGTGCAAAAGTGTGGTTTGGTCTGGAGATGGGGCCGGGTGGGGTGGTAACAAGGACCATTTCTGATAGCTTCCTTCTTGTTTCTGTTTTCAAAAATTTAATTGTCTGAGTAAGTGTTGCCAGTTACATATTTGTAGGTAAACATTAGGCTGTACTATGCTCTGTTGTGAATTCTCCTTGCTGACTGACTGGCTTTCATATGGAGGAAGCTGCTTTGCTGGAAACCAGGGCAGGGCATGGGGAGGGGGTGGGGGGCTCTTGAGGAGTTGTAGGGGAGGCAGTGGTGAAGCCATTCCTTCTCGTGCCAGCTGGTGGACCATGCATAATATACTACTGACCTGCTAGTGTGCCCAGGGGTGAAGTAGCGGCTTGACTGTTTGGGAGTTAACTGTCTGCTGAGTTCTCAGTCTTAATTAGTTTTCATAATGTTATTTGGTTTTGAGAATTTCATACAGTGTATTTTGATTATATCCATGTCCTTATTCCAACCCTTCCCAATTCTTTTCCCACTACCCTAACAATCCAAACTCATGCTCTGTCCTTTTAATTTTTATTAAACCCACTTTGTCTGGATTGTGTGGAGTAACTTGCTCCTCAGTTAGGAGGGATAGCAGGGATTGTGAAATCTTTAAGTAGCAGCCCCCTGCATGCATTGACCAGTCATTAGAGAGCAATTTTTTTTTTCTGAGACAGGGTTTCTCTGTGGCTTTGGAGCCTGTCCTGGAACTAGCTCTGTAGACCAGGCTGGTCTCGAACTCACAGAGATCCGCCTGCCTCTGCCTCCCGAGTGCTAGAATTAAAGGCCTGCACCACCACCGCCCGGCTCAGAGAGCAATTTGGAATAGCTTGAATCCTCAGAACAATTACTTAGGGGAAGGCATTGTTAGTCAGCTGTAAACCGAAGTTAAATTCCACTGAGAAATAACAACATACTTTTAACTTTGAAGCATTCAGTAGCAGATTAATTCATGAACTGAACTCATATATCACTAACACAGTGAAAAATAAAGTATTTTATATATTATTAACTCCATCTTTTAAAAATTGATGTGCACATACATCAAGTGCATTTTAATTCAAATAGCTGGATAAAAATACTGTCACATTTTCTCTGTTCCCGTCAATAAAGATGTACAGTAAAATTCTTCATACCATAAGGATGGCCCTAATCTGCAAGTTATAGATGGCATGTTATTGTTTTATGGTTAAATATAAATATGTTATATATTATGAAATATTAAAGGGTTATATTTAAAAATCAGTTAAATGCACTTTATTAATTATCTACTCATGTTGCCGTAATGAAATCCTGTTCCGAAAAATATGGTGAATTTACAGAAAAATAACATTTAAAACACAAAAAAACACTATAAGGGTATAATATGAATAAAATTGTCTAGCAGAAATTGAGACTCTGGATGACATGACAGAACAAATTATAAAATGCCATTTGTCTAGGATTTATCCTACAAAAAGGGGGTTGAAGGTTATGAAATATACCCATACTTCTGATATATCACATGTATTATATCTATTTTGTAGATCTGATTAGATGTTCTCTGATTTATTCTGACTTAATTCCAAGTGCCTTTAAAAGTTGTGATTTTTTTTTAACCATACTAGCCAAAGAAGCAATCCAAGACTTGAAATATAAGAAGGCCCTCGTAGGTTTAGGCTAGAGTTCAAGATATAGGAGACCACCTACCATGATCAGGTAGCAGCTAAGACCCACCCTGAACACAAGCTGACAAAAGGATTGGGGATTTAGCTGTACAAATTCCAGAACTTTCACACTTCCAGGGGATCACACCACCAACAAATGGGCTGGGCCCTCCCCCTTATGCTATCAATTAAGAAAATATATTACTGCTGGGTCTTATAAAGGCATTTTCTCAATGGATGTTCCCTCCTTCAGATGACACTAGTTTGTGTGAAGTTGACCTAAACTACCCAGTACATATTTCTAAATTATACCTAATTTTTCATTTATAACAAAGCTATGTCTTGGTTGTTTGAAGTGCTCTAGGCTGGGCCCCTCTGGCATGGTGTCACTAGGTTTATGTGCCCAAGACTGGCTGTGCCAGGCTCACCCTAACTTCAATCAAAAAAAAAAAAAAAAAGAATGCTGAGGAGGACAGTTAATAGCCTAGGAGTCTAAATGGATTGCTGTCTGTCCATTGCATAACCGTGTCTGGCCTACTGCTCTCTATAACACTTTGAAGATTTCTTTAAAAAGAAACACAAGATTCCTTCCTCCTCCTCCTCCTCCTCCTCCTCCTCCTCCCCTCCTCCTCCTCCTTCCTCCTCTCCCTCTTCCTCTTTTTCGAGACAGGTTTCTCTGTAGCTTTGGAACTAAATCCTATAGACCAGGCTGGCCTTGAAATCACAGAGATCCGCCTGCCTCTGCCTTCCAAGTGCTGGGATTAAAGTTGTGCACCACCACTGGGGGCCTTACTCTTCTTTATTGAAATATTTATATGCAGTTTTTTTCCAAGCTGCAGTTTTACCCATACTATGTAATGGGCTTCCTCTGAACCCACTTTCTAGCCACTAAGTTTGAACATCGTCTCCACCACTCTACATTGGGGAGTCACTCAGGGCACAGAGGGTCAGTGAGTTTGCAGGGCACAGCTTTCTGCCACATGCCGCTTCTCCACCATCAACCTTCCCTGTTGTCCTTTCACTGGGCCTTGCCTCGCTTTCCCAAAATGACGCCAATGCTATAAGGGGTGGTTAAAAGATTATATAAAAGATTAACACACTTGCAGTGTTTCATTAGTCCTGGCTGTTCTCTTGTTATTACAGTCTGCTTTTCCTGCAGCCCATAGGTGTAAGTGTATGCCCGTGCACGTGACAAATGTGTTTATTTGGCAGGTAATCAGCATCAGCAGTACCTACACATTCTCTGCCTAATCTCCATTTCAGAAGGTTCCAGGTGGTCTCCAGACAGCACTCTGTAGTGCTCACTGGGGACACTTAAGAGCTCTTACAACGGGTGAATGAACAAGTTTCTCAGCTTTACACACCTCCACCCCCATACAGACACACACATACAAGCACACACACACACACACACACACACAGAGAGAGAGAGAGAGAGAGAGAGAGAGAGAGAGAGAGAGAGAACCAAAATAGAATAGACAGTTGGTCCCTCCCTCTCATAAAGTGTTACATTTTCTCCTTTTTCTTATTAGAGAAAATATTCCAGAATTGATGCTCAGTGTCTGGAACTTTAACAGAGATAAACACATGGGGTAAACCTTACTTTTCTAAATGAGCCCCACAAGCATAAAGTCTTTGGAAAATTACTGAATCAAGCAATTGAACTACAGTTTTTTTTGTTTTTGTTTGTTTGTTTGTTTGCTTTTTTGCAGTTGAGATTCTCAAACCCTTGGCTTTCCTTATCAAGCAGGAGCCTTAATCTATGAAAATAGAATTTGATCTGGCAAAAAACACAGGGTGAGATACACTATGGAAAATACACATAAGGAAACAGTCATGCCTTTGTGTTTTCTTCTATTTTGTCCAAAAAGGGAGGCTGCACTGCTTTGGTTCTGTTCAATGGCACCAGAACAGTGGCATGGTCATGGACATTCCGTGCAGTGCCACAAATAACGTTCATCTCCGTTTTTAGTATCATTGTCCTCATTTTTTGTCCCTTTAACTTCAGCTCTGGAAAAGAAACAGTACTGTACACATGTTAAACACTTATTGGGCAGCACACTTACACTCCCAGCCTCCAAGACAGTACATGCTGCACTGGCCATCATACAATTATGAGTCATGTGGAAAAAATGGTTATCTAAAGCCTACTCTATCTTACCATCTTTTTCTCATACACAAATGTCCTGTGTTTCTCAGACTGCATTATTAAAATCAAACCCTACCTGGGGAGTGAAAGTGTTCTAGGGCTCCCAGTTGAAAGTCAGAATTAAGATACTATTTCAAACATAAATCTGAAATTAGTCATAATCAGGCAGTTATTTATATTTAATTATCATCATGCCTCACCTATTACTGGGCTGAGGTTTTAGTAATAAGGTTGTAAATCATAATTTTAAAAGTTAAATGACGAATGGCTGAATCATGAGTTTTACATCATTTTAATATTTTATAATTATTATGAAAAATTATCTATCATGTCCAAGATATTCATAAAAGTAGGGGATATTATGAAAACAAGGTTTTTTTCTCCAGAAACCTGTGAGATTCATAGATGGTACCCTAGAATTCAGGTGCTTGATGGGAAAGGGTGTTGATTCTGGATTCTGAGTGGACAAGCTCTATCTACTATACTTAGCATAAGTCACAACATGCTTGTTTCTCATGACAGTATACTTTTAAAACTTAAATTTTCTTGAAAAGATTGAAACAAGGAATTCTCTTCTACCCATGGGGACAGAGGCAGGATGGTATTAAACCATGATTCTCATAAGTTTTATAGGACCTACGGACTTCCAAACACCAACATCATCTCCATCAATATATTTAAAGACAAGTTCTATGTAATTAGTCCTTACGTTAATCCAAGAACAAGCCATACTATAAACTCTGCAAGGGCCTTACATTAGAAACCAGTACAAAACACAAAACACACAACTTCTTTCTGAGGGAAAAACATACTTACACAGACTTTCAGAATATCCAAGTTCAGACTTTGTGTTGTGGCTATGCAAGGGAACAACAGGGAAGAGGGGATTTTATCAGCACAGGGTAATGCATCATTGGAACAGCTTACAGAGAAAGTTCAGTTATTAAACTGGGAGATCAGGATGTCTAGCCACAGTCACACGACAGAAGAAAACTGAAAGAACAAGTCAGTATAGAAAAGATTTCCTCCCAGCAAAAGCAAAATAGTCACCTCTCTTTAAAACATTTATTCAATATATATATACATATATATTTTTTTGAGGAAAGAAACTCTGGCCTAGAATTTTATCACCCTTTCATCTTATAATCAGACTTACTAAACAGTTGCTCAAAGATTGAAAGTTTTTCGTTGAAAATTCTGTAGTCTTTGAGCTTTCCCAAAATAATGAGAAAATTCGGATTTCATTGCACTGCACCACCAAAGGCCTTCAAAGCCTAATGCCTATCACAGAGTAAAGCCTTTGCTGTAGTTTTATGAATTGAAAATATAAGGATCATCACCTTAACAATCACCTGAACCAATGAAAAAATACTACCAACAAGTACTTCCTCATAGATAACAGCGCAAATGAACACTTCCATGTGGAATTGACATTTGCTACAATACTTACCACTTAGGGCTGTGGTAACCTCTGCATGATATCTATAACCTCCATATAATATGATATAACCTCCTGTGTGTTGAAATAGGAGCGGCGGGGCTGCGTCCCCGGCACCCGGCCGCCCGCATGGCTAGCTTATGCCCGAAATAATTACACAGAAACTGTATTCTTTCAAACACTGCCTGGCCCGGCTAGTTCCAGCTTCTTATTGGCTAGCTCTTGCATATTGTTCTAACCCATTTCTAATATTCTGTGTAGCCCACGAGCTGGCTTACCAGGGAGGATCTTAACCTGCGTCTGTCTGGAGCGGGAGAATCATGGCGACTCCTCCACTAAGCTTCTTTCTCCCAGAATTCTCTTCTGTCTACTCCGCCTACCTAATTTTCTGTCCTATGAGGGCCGAGGCAGTTTCTTTATTATTACAAGACCCACCTCCATCACCTGCGTAATATCTCCGTATCTGTACAAACCAATAAACCACCTTTTATTCACTCTGATTTATGGATACAAAACTCAAGTTCTCCTCTTATCATAGCCTATGCCTTACCAAGCAACTTTCTGAAACTCCTTTCAAGAATGAAGAAACTGTGTCCTCTCCTGGAAGGGTCCTGCTTGGCTGACTCGCAATAAGCCCTTCTTCCTTATTTTGTGTAAGCATCCTTCACAGGACCACAGATTTCTGTTATTTGCCTTTAATAACTTAACCAAGAAGGCCAATGTTCTACTTAAAAACTCCAAGCAGATTTCCCATCTCCCTGACCTTTGTTTTGCCTTGATAGTACCTGGTAAATGTAGATGCCATCATGTTGTCAAGCATTCAAAACAGGTGTTGGCATGTAAGTATAATTTTTTTCAAAATTACTCATTGTGTAGAAGAGGCAGTTCTATTTAGGCAAATATTCAAATATTTAAACCTATAAGTTTAGTAATGAATAAATATAAGTTCACATAAAAACCATTAAGTTTATCATCATAAACCAAAAAGACTACTTGTTATATGGTTTTTAAAAATTGTTACATAGTAAACAGTGGCAGAAAGAATCAAAGTTGTCATCATTAAGACTGGACCAGCTGAATAAGTTAGGTTTCCTGTGCACAACCTATAGTTTGGGCTCCAGGAATTAGGTCCATTCACTAAGTTCCCTGATGGCAATCAAAATGGTCAACCTCAAGAACTCAAAAGCAGACTCATCTTCCATGTACCAAAAAATACCTCAGTTCTGGTAACTGGGACACAAACACGGAGGTCATCTGTGAATGCATATACATTTCCGAGCTTTTGATCTACCTCTTCTGTAAATTGTAACACTGCTACAGGAAAACCATGTATGTATTAAGGATTTCTACCTATCCACTTCTGGTAAAAACTATGAATAACTTTGTTTTTCCACTTTGGTGTGGATTATGTCTTCTGTTTTTAAGATTTATTTGTATTTATGTGCCTGTGCTTGTATATGTCATGTGAGTTCAGGCTAGAAGAAAACATCAGATCTCTTAGAGATGAAGTTACAGAAGTTGTGAGCTGACTAAACTCCAGTCCTCTGGAAAAGCAACAAGCACTATTATCAGCTGAACCATCTCTCAAGCCCTTTTTATGTCTTTTCTTATGAAAAGAGTTCAGACTATACCCCAGCGTTATAGGCCCAAGTTCTAGTTAACATGTATAGCAATAGTTATTTTTCTCATGGTAAAGATTAGTAAATATCGCCTGGCAGTGGTGGCACACGCCTTTAATCCCAGCACTCGGGAGGCAGAGGCAGGATCTCTGGGAGTTCAAGACCAGGCTGGCTAGTTCCTGGACAGGCACCAAAGCTACAAAAAAAAAAAAAAAAAAAAAAAAAAAAAAAAAAAAAAGGTTAGTAAATATCTTAGTTCAGGTTTCTGTTGTTGGTGCAAAACACCATGAACATAAATAACTCTAGGGGAAAAAAAGGTTTATTTCAGCTTCCAGCTCTCAGGTTGCCAAGGGATGTCAGGACAAGAATCTGGAGGTAGGAGCTGAAGCAGAGGTCTTGGAAGAATGCTACGTACTGACTTCCTCTTTGTAGCTTACCCAGACTGCCTTCATCAGCACCCAAAACCACAAGCCAAGCATCATCCAGAGTGGACAGATCCTACCCAGGTCAATCACCAGGCAAGAAAAAAGACCATTGTCTTTCCAACAGGCTAAGCTGATGGAGGTATTTTCTCTATGTTGCTGGGGTCCAAACATTACACAGTGAGCACAGCTGGTAGTCTCTAGGCTAACACCCAACTTGCAAGACTTTGGGGAACCTGTCTTTTAACTAGTTGCTGTCATTTCTGTAAAATCCTTGTGAAGCCATTGTGCTCCCCTGTCCATAGTGGGATTCATCCCAGGAAACCCCAGTAGAGTATCAATTTTTAGGGCATAACCTCCCCACATTCTGTTATACTGGGTGACTTTTCATTTGGTTGTATAATCTTGATATGTAGAATACATACTGGGACCTTTGAGTTCTGGAAAAGGCCCAGGAGAAAGTAAATGCTTTTCTTTGGAGTCTCTGCAGGAACAAAGTCACAGCTTGACCTGGAGCCTGGAAGTGCCAGGCTCAGGATCTTACACTACAACAGTTTCCCCCCTTGATGTAGCCACCTTAGATATTATCTCTAGGACCAAGAGACTTCATTTCATTTTATTCAGCTGGCAAAAATGCCAATGCAAAAAAGCCCCATCACTTTCCTTCTGAAGCTCAAGTCGGTTGCCATGGCTACCACAAACCCCGTGTTCCCAGTCGGAGGAAGACAAGTGCTTAGAGAGTGCACAGCACTGTAGAATTTTTCTTCCCTTTCCCCCTACATTTATGAATTACAAACTTCCATCTTAGCTAGCCACAGGGATGTAGTTAACACATAAACTCCCTCTCTCTTAGAAATCATAGCCCTTTCCTTTACCTTTACTCGGATTGCCCAGGAACTTCACAGCCTCGCCCCTTCTCGGACAGTAGTAAGTTGACAGGCTTTGTCAAACTTATTACTTACGGTAGCTCTGTGAAATGCATGCTTGGTATGGCCTATGGAATTGCTCATCGTGCCTATTTGTGTGTGTAAAGTGTAAACCTAGTGCAATAGTGGAACATCGAGAGAGATCATCCGAAGGACACCCGAAAGAGCGATGGAGAGAGCATTGGGCAAAGCATAGGGAGAATAAGTGGGGCATAATGAAAAGATGTATGTGAGTTAATTTATTTACCCTCAGATCTCTTTTAGGCAGTTTCCCCCTGCTATAGCTTTTCTTCTGAATCCTGAGAGGCTTAGAGGCTTAGGGGGCTGGCATCCCAACATAAACCTCGATACTATATTAGTTCCCTCTTCCAAAATGACTCTAGTGTATGTCCTTTTGATGTAAACACTACCAGCACAGAAAACTTACATTACAGCAAGGTATTTCATGTCACAGATGAAAATACATATGTGAATCCTTCCTAAACAGGTCCACAAACTGGGGACTAAGCATTCAAACATATGTGCCTATGGAGGCCATATTCATGTACTCCCACAGGGGTAACCAACTGCCAACTAATTAGATTTTAGGTCCCTTCAGTGTGGAGAATGATTAATACTGTAAATCTAATAAACTTTCCATAATTGAAAATGTCACAGATCCTAAAAAAGAATCTTCGACTGCCATTTTCCTTAGCCAAATAAGATTTCTAACTATTTTTAAGTACTTAATTTAAACCCACAAGTAAGTTTGACTCTCAGCCCCCATCAAAGAAACTTCTTTGTACAGCAGAAGGTGACTATTTCAGAGACACACAACTCATCAAAATGCAGAGAACAATAGCCTGTGGGGTTCCCAGTCCCAACTTACTTATTATATGTGTCTAGAGTATAAGTAAGTACTTGTGGGACAATTTGCACAAAAGGCAACTGTAGGGGATTTTTCAAACTTAATGAATCAAACTGGTCTTGAATCAGCTCAGTATGAATAACTCTAGAGTGAGATTCTCCCTTGTGGCCTTGGCCTGATAAGAGGGATTCTTTCAAGTATCTGTGGGACAGCATACACTTACCCTTGCCTAGAAGAAAAGAAGCCTGCTGTGAACTGCTGGGGAGAGGAGAAGGTGTAATGAATGCCTTTCACCTGGGATGCTTTGAATTCCCAGCACAGACAGAGTGAGTTTGAAAGACAAGCTTGACCTCTAGGTAAGTGCTTAGCCAGACTCATATTTTCATTTCAGCATAGAGAAGCTTAGATGAAAATCTAGTGAGGCTGTGGCTACACAAGTGATAAATGAAAACTGAGACCATAAAGGGATGCTGTTTTAAAGTCACCAAATTGACAGTAATTTCTTAAATGACAATAGAAGATGAGACTCTATTAGCAACATCTGAAATAGAACTTTATACAATGTTTTCCAGAAATAGTACAGCATTAAAGGAAAAAGAAGAGGTCTATTTTTAATAATTTGAAGTCTTCGGAATTGAATACCATTTAAATGAACCCAGCATGGATTTGAAAGTTTTGCTTTGAATTTTATTTATAAGATGTATATTATTGTGAATAATTCATTTTCATTAATAGACATGGAATCCAGGTTTAATTTGTGGTAGCCCATGTATGTGCAAATATATTAGCTACAATTTTTCAAAATAATTCCTAATAAGTCTTGATTTTTGTGTTCTATTTTGTTGAAATGTCCTTTTTATGCCTCTAACCTTATTTATTTTTATCACTTTACATTTTGTTGTGTGTCTAAAGGAATTTTACTGATTTTTATATTTTTCATTTTAAGTGTGTTTTATTTTTATTTGCTCAATTTTTTTTTTAACTTTTCTATTTCTAATCTTGAGTTTGGTTTATCCTTGCTTCTCTAAAGTCCTCTGATATAATTATATGTTGTTTATTTTTAGTATAGTACTACAACCAGCTACTTTCAGAAGTCTATTGACTGTATTCCATGAGGAGATACTATTAATTGAACCATGGGTTGTTTACTCTCCGTGTATTAATTTATTTTATATCTTCTTTTGTTTTTCTATTCTCATTCTTTATAAAAACATGTTATCATTATAAAAGATAAAGGTTCTGGTTTCATTATTTAAAAATTTGCTGAGATTTTTTTTTAGAAGACCAATATGGACTATTCTAAAAACACGTACATAGTGATAAAAAACTTCATATTCTTCAGCTATATGATGGAACATTCTAGATTCATGTTTGTGCTTTCATCTGTTTGCTTGTTTTGTCCAGTGCTAGAGATTAAATCTATGGTATTTTGCATTCTAGTCAATAACTTAACTGTAGCCTCCTCCTTTCTACATTTAATTTTTGTAGAGGGTCTCACAGCCAGGCTTGTACTAACTAGTCTTGCATTCATTCTCTACCCCAATGCTAGTTTTGACA